TTCCAGCGTTTTCGGGAATTCCAGCGTTTTCGGGAATTCCAGCGTTTTCGGGAATTCCAGAATTTTTGGGAATTCCCAGCGTTTTCAGGAATTCCCAGCGTTTTCAGGAATTCCAGCGTTTTCGGGAATTCCAGCGGTTTTGGGAATTCCAGCGTTTTTGGGACTTCCAGCGTTTTAGGGAATTCCAGCGTTTTAGGGAATTCCAGCGTTTTAGGGAATTCCAGCATTTTCGGGAATTCCAGCGTTTTGGGGAATTCCAGCGCTTTTGGCAATTCCAGCGCTTTTGGCAATTCCAGCGCTTTTGGGAATTCCAGCGCTTTCGGGAATTCCAGCGTTTTCGGGAATTCCAGCATTTTTGGGAATTCCAGCGTTTTTGGGAATTCCAGCATTTTGGGAATTCCAGCATTTTTGGGAATTCCAGCGTTTTTGGGAATTCCCAGCGTTTTTGGGAATTCTAGCATTTTGGGAATTCTAGCGTTTTCAGGAATTCCAGCGTTTTTGAGAATTCCAGCATTTTGGGAATTCCAGCGTTTTGGGAATTCCAGCGTTTTCGGGAATTCCAGCGTTTTCAGGAATTCCAGCGTTTTTGGGAATTCCAGCGTTTTTGGGAATTCCAGCGTTTTTGGGAATTCTTTAACCCATGCTGGGTGTGAGGGTGGGCCCCTGATTTGTGCCCCCCTTGGGATCTCTCTGTGCTCCTGCCTTTCCCAGGGCCTCAGGATCCTCAGGCAAACGAGCTCCTGCTCTCCCTTCCCCTCCCAGCCCAGCAGATTAAAATGATGCCGAGAGCTCTGGGACGTGCTCAGGGTTTATCCCCAGCTCCGCAGGAGCTGCGCTTGCTCTTGCTGGATTTTAAAGGCATTATGTACATTAAAATGCATTAAAACAGAAATAGAGGCCTCTTAGAAGACTTTTTTTACTAAAAAGCTCTGATTTGAGCATAATTTGGCTGCAGAAGTGGCTTTTGAGTGCTTTTTTTTTTAAATTATTTTTCAGTTGGGGAAGGAACAGAATATGATTTGTCCTAATGAGATTTTTGGAGAGGATTTAGGAAATGAAAGATATCAATGGCTTCTTTTGAAAAACTTTAGCCTATTGATTTCCTTTTCTTTTAATAAATCACATGAAGTTCCAAAAATCTTTTATTTCCAAACAAGGATGAGGAATTTTGGTAGAAGTGGGATACATTAATTAGCCTTACTACAAGAAGTAAAACATTGCCATTTACTGATCAGTAACAATCTAAAAATCTCTATAAATACATATTTGCTGCTTTCTTAGAAGCAATAATAGCATGCATTTATATTTAAAATATAAACATGTGTATTATGTCTTTAGACAGACCAAAATATTTGTATTGTAATATATGCATATATTATAGATTATTTTATATATACATGTATTTATGGATATATTCCTCTCTACCTAGATTTTGTCAGATACAGTGAGGAATTCCTTGAGTTTTGTGCAGGGTTTTGTGCAGTTTTGTGGAGTGTGTTGGAGGGAAGTGCTCAATGGGAGCAGGCGAGCTGGAGGTGTTAGGACAAAGGAAGCCTCTGACGTTTGGGAATTCTGTTCAGTTTCCTGCTTAAAATCAGCCAAGAAATTGGAAAATTGTGCATCATAATGACCTTGATGGAAAGGGCTGTGTAGGCATTCCAGTGTTTTACTTTTGTAAATTCCTCCGTGTTTCACCCTGAACTTTTAACTTGGATCATCCCCTGCCCTGACTCTCTCCCTCCTGCTGAAATTGTAAAATTTCCTTTACAAACATCCCCTGCCCTGTCTCAGCTGCTATTTCTGGGTGAGGATGGATGCTGACATCCCCTGCCCCGTCTCAGCTGGGATTTCTGGGTGAGGATGCTGCTTTCCATGTCTGGGCTCCTCCAGGTCAGGATTCCTGCTGGCTTCAGCTGGCCTGGCTCTGGATATTGAAAAAACCAGAAAAATCCCTTTATTTCCCAGCAGTCCCAGTGTGGCCACAGTCACTGTTCCATGATTTCTGAGGAAACACTGACTAGAGCAAGTTGAGAGAGTTTCCAAGTATTTAATGCAACGTTAATTAGCAAAAACTGCTTAATCAAACATCTCCAAATGGTGCTGTTTGCCTTATGAAGGAACCAAGTTTCCTGAAGCTTGTTTGCTTATTCAGCTTTACCATCTGCTTTCATAAAAAGCAGCACTTTGCCTTATGGGTCCTGCTTCTGTCTGATTTCTGGAGGCCTCTAACTCATCACTGGTGCTAAAATGCAGAATTTCTTTCTGATTATGATATCCTGCAACTGTCCCTTAAAGTGCAAGAAATGCTGCTGAACCTCAAGTCTTGACTGAAGTTCTTTTTTCCAATGTGTCAAAATAATTTTGGTGTTTTTCATTAATAACAATCTTAACCTTGGCTTTAGGAATAGAAGACAGAATACCTTAAATAATATTTAAAGTGTGTCCCCTTATTTTTATGTAGCTTTAGGTGTGTTAATTATTAAGATATGTTAATTGGATAATCACTTTGCCCATCAAATTTAATAAAGGTTGGAATAAGTTGCTTAAAATTTGTGTAGAAAAGCCATACTTAGTAAAAGATTAACTTATTTGAAGGAACCGATTAACTTAATATTCAGCTGATATGTAAATGAAAATGAGAGCTGCATTTTCATTTAGATGAATGTTAAAACCAATTATATATTCTAATTAGCTATTGGAACTTTTTGAAGTTATATCCTGGGATCAAAAAAGGCACCACAAGTTCCTCTAAAGGAAAGTTTGCATTGATGTTGAAGTAGAGCAGGAAAAATAGAAAAAAAATTAAAATGAGAAATTTTAAAAAATAGGAAAAAAAAATAAAAATAGGAAAAAAAAAAAAAAGAAAAATGAACTGGATTAACTGTGTAACTTGGACTCAGGTGAGCAGGATGTTACCTGAGTTCTGCACCTAAACCTTCAAGAGTTCATTTGTTATGATATGGGAACAGCTGCAGCTTCAGTGAGGAGCTGCATTTCCACTTCAGTGCCAGTTGAACGTTTTTAGTGTTACAAGAGCATAAATTTGACTGGGGAGTTGTGTAAACTTGCATTTTCTGTGACCCTTTTTCCTGAGTAACCAGTCCTGGCTGGGGGGCAGACAAAGTGAACTGAGAATTGTACAAGTTTATTGCACCTCCATTGGTTTGGAGCCATTCAGTCCTTTAAATTGAATTTATTGGCTACTTGTTTGGCCTCATTGTGATTTTGTGAGCTGCTGCAGAATTAATCTTCCTAGAATGTTTCCAGGGGAAAAAAAAAGGCAACTTTAATATACCATAGGTAAGAGGCTAAGTTGTCTTAGTAAGTTGACAAATTTTTATTAGAGGAATGTCAGCTTTTTCTTAGGAAGTGAGGCAAATTTAATTGTGCTTTTTGCTTTTCTCCAGTAGCCTTTGATCCTCGTTTTAATACAGGGCTTGAGAATTGAATGATGATAATAAAGCATAAAGAACTGAATAAAGAACTTGATTAGGTGGAGAGTTCAGACAAGACCTTTATGAGAGCCCAGAAGGGGAAATAATGACATGCAGCCCATCACTGACAGTCAGCTGGAAAAGAAATATCCATTTTCTTGGTTTTCTTGCCTCTTTAACTGTTTGTAGGGGGAGCCAGTGCTTGCTGTTCCATGCACCTGTTGGAATATTTCATTTCTTATATTTATATATACAGATATATATATGCCTTTGACATTAATTTTATTTAGAGCCTTTAAGAGTTTGACCTTTCCAAGTGAATGTAGGCTTTGCTCCTTACCTAATTCTAGAAGATTCCTCCAAATTCAGTATGTGATCACTCTTTTCTCTGCCACTGAGCACATGGATTTAGAAACAGGCCCAAAAAGGGGGAGCCAGAACAGGGTGAGGCAGGAGGAACCAAAATATCATTTATGGCCATCTTCTGCTGATACCTAAAGGACATTATCTGTGTAAAACGGTTCTGGGTTTGAAGGAAAAACCCACGTGAAAACAGCTCTTAGGAAATTACCAAGATAGTTTTAATTCCATTCCCTGACCTACATAATATTTTAAAACTTGCTGCTGGGTTGGTGGTCAGAAGCCAATAAATGATCAGTGTTCCATGGCACTACACAGGATTAAAGAGGAAAGGACACTGCTCTCAAGTTTGAGGATTATTCTTCACCAATGTTTATGTCACACTCTCCTGTGGGCCTGTACTTTGTTGCACTCGGGTTTTGAGATCTAAAGCTTTGAACAATTTTTTTTTCTGTGCCATTTTGAGTAAAAACAGCAATTGGAGATTGTTCTACAAAAGTTAAAGCAAATTATGTGATTAATTTTAATTTCCATCTACTGCAGATTAGCGTAAGTAGATCCTTTCAAGGCAGATGTTTTCAGTATGATATTTCTGAAATACAGGATGATTAGAAGAATAATGTTTCAAGACTTTCAATGATTTTGGCTTATAGAGGCTCAGAGAGAAATTTGTGACAATGGAGATTTATAAAAAAAGATCACTAGTTCTGCTGAGATGCTTCTTTTCTGATCCTTTCCTTTTCCTTGTTCCAGCCTGATCATAGGAATTGTTTGAGACCATCTGGAGCCTTCATGTTTATGTTCATTTTAGAATGAATTCATTATTATTCAGGCCACTCAAGTCCTTCCTGTGAAAGTTATTGCTGCTGTTTCTGCTACTGCTGGGAGATAGCACTGGTAGAAAAATCATAGTTCTTCTAAGGACCATGGCCAAATTTTGTCCAACAGAAACAGGAGAACATCAAAATCTTTGTTTGGCCAGTCAAGATCTGTGATTTGTCACATAGCAAAGCTTTTCTTGCCAAGGGCTTCAGGAACACCCCGATGGTGAATACATTGGGGAAGAAATCTTTCCATATTCTACTAAGCACGATGAGCTAGATTTGGAACATGATTTGGAACATAACCATTCTTGCAATTAAATTAAAAATTTCAAGTGGTTTAACAATGCTCAGTACATCTTTTTTCCTTAATTTAAATTTCTCTTGTGGATTATGGTGTGCTAAGTGGGAGGAAATAACTCTGATAATTCTTGCAAAATATGAAAGATCTTTTGTGACCTGGGCTGGTGAATTTGGTCTTGGGGATTCAAATTAATGAGTCAGCATTGTAGATTATTGTCAGTATCTGCTGTGTTACAACATCACGATTGTAACCTCCCTGTCAGGATTTATAAACTCCCATATTTTTATCAGAGCAGGAAGGGATGAGTGCTGTGCTCTGCTTTGCCAAGTGTCTGAAACACAGAGGGAGGTGCTGGGGTGCTGGAAACACAAGGCAGGCAGTGCAAACACGCAGAGAAAAGCTCTTGGCTTGCTGGCTGGTGCTGTGTGATCGTGTTCACTGGGGTCTGAGCATGAGGATCTGACTCCATGTTTCACAAGGCTTGATTTATTATTTTATGATATATGTTACATTAAAACTATACTAAAAGAATAGAAGAAAGGATTTCATCAGAGGGCTGGCTAAGAATAGAATAGGAAAGGATGATAACAAAGGTTTGTGGCTCAGCTCTGTGTCCGAGCCAGCTGACTGTGAATGGCCATTAATCAGAAACAACCACATGAGACCAATCCCAGATGCACCTGTTGCATCCCACAGCAGCAGATAACCATTGCTTGCATTTTGTTCCTGAGGCCTCCCAGCTTCTCAGGAGGAAAAACCCCAAGGAAAGGAGTTTTTAGAAAACATATCTGTGACAGTGCTGCATTCTAACAGTGAGCATTTGAGCATTTTGAGCTGTGGATGTTTTGAGCTGCCCTCTCAGGCAGAGCTGGGTGTGTTTTGCAGATGAGCTCGGTGAAGATGCTGCGCGCGCGGCTCAACGGGATCCTGTTCCGGCTGATGTTCGAGGAGCACGTCAACAACATCAAGCCCGACATCATGGCTGTCACCCTGGCCTGCGAGGAGCTCAAGAAGAGCGAGAGCTTCAGCAAGCTGCTGGAGCTGGTGCTGTTCCTGGGCAACTACATGAACTCTGGCTCCAGGAACGCGCAGTCCCTGGGCTTCAACATCAGCTTCCTCTGCAAGGTCAGTGTGGCACGGGGCAGCTCCTGGGAGACCCAGGGCACAAAGCTGGACAGCATCACTCAGTGAATTTTACTGACTGCGCCCTGAGTTTAATCATACAGGAAATACAGTCAGCAGCCCCAGCATTCCTTGGGGAATTTGAAGGTGTCTTTATTTTTTGCTCCTAAGGAATGTATGCCAGCCTTCAGGCTTGTCTAGCAGAATTTGGGAACCTTTGTTTTGCATTTCATAATAACTCCTTTCATAGTTATATGAACTATCTATATATATTATATTAACTATATATAACTATATATATTATATTAACTATATATATTATATTAACTATATATAACTATATAATATTAACTATATATAACTATATATATTATATTAACTATATATAACTATATATATTATATTAACTACATATAACTATATAGCTATAATAACTCCTTTTTCAGACCAGTGACTGTCACTCAGTGGAACTTTCTGCCCATGAAAAGAGATTTTTATTATTTTTTTGAGCCAGCTGTCAGCAAGGTATCCGTGTACACATTTCTATGTGCAGAATACACACACTTCATGATGAGGGGTCATAATGTGATGAATTCACTTTTCAATACAACCAGAGTTTTGTATTGATTTTTTTCTTTTTGCTTGTTTCTTGAACAATCTTAAAATTAATTGTCTGTTTACTGGATGCAGTGCTTACATTATGCAGACTGAAAAAAAAGAGGAGAAAAAAGGCAAGTATTGATCTGGGATAAACGTTTGGTTTTGGAAAATAAATGATTTTACAACAGAGCTGGTCATTTCATACACAGATCTGTTTTGCTAAAGCTTTTATTAAAACATGGTAAAGAAAATACAAAAAACCACCATTCCCACTTGTCTGGCCTGAGCTAGAAGGCTAATGACTGAGGAGTAATTGCAAATCCTTAAAAACAGATTATCTCTCTGGATGTTATATTGCAGTGTATGATGTTATTGAAGATAGAAATGATCTGTAAACAACCCTTGGCAGAAGGCAGAGAACTTAATGCTGTTCAAATGAGAGACATCACCATCAGAATTCCTGAGATGTTGGCCAGGGAGAGCAGCTCCTCCTGAGCCTGCAGCAGAGCATCTTCAGTGCCTGAGCTTGGAATGCTCTGTGGAAACAGAAATATAGCAATAGAAATGCAGCAGCAAAAATGCAGCAATAGAAAAACAGCAGCAGAGGTGCTCAGGCTGAGGGTGGCTGCTGCAGGAATTCACTCAAGTTTGCTGTGTTTGTTTAGTATGTCCAGAGGGTCCAGCTGCTTTTTGAGCCCCCTCAGGAGCTCCCAGGTTCTGCTCCATAGGAATGGAGCTGAAAGGAAGGAGGTTTGTTTCAGGGATGTGCAGGTACAGCTGTGGGGCAGAGTTCAAGTGAGGACCAGGAGCTCAGTTCCCATGAAGCTTTTGCAGTGCTCTGGCTGGATCAATGTGTGTTCATCTGTTAAGTGCTGCTGTGATGCTCCTTGTTCAAGGTGCAAATAGAACAAGACAAGCTGTTTATCCAGGCTGAGCATTACTGATGAGGGGACATTTATTGTCCAGCAGCCCTTGTTCTGGCAAGAGGGGAAAGATTTCTAGGGTAGGAGAAGGTCTATAATCTCATAAAAATCAATAGAGAGCCTTTTTATAGCTATAATAAAGTGTCACTCCAGTGATGGCTCCTACATAAATTTTTCCTTGCATTGGCTGCCACGTTTAACCCTCACACCTGGGAGAGCCCAAGCCCATCCTGGCAGTGGTTCTGTGTGTTTGGCATGGGTTAAATAAATGTTTACTTTGTGCAAAGGGAGAGTTTTGTTCTGGTGGTGTTTTCCTGGCTTACAGAATTAAACCTCTTACTGTGCAACTCATATTTGAGTGGTTGTGCTGTGCTCTGTGTCCCTTGGCCTTTGATCCTTCCCCAGGCCCTGGGTCTCATGGTGTTGACCCTCAAATTGATGCTGCAGCATTCAGCTGGAGCTGCCTCCTGTAGCCCCCACTGATCTGGCAATTTATTTCATTTATTTTTAAACTGAACGTGTTATTTCCAAATTCCATCTCCCGGGCAAGGAAAGGCCCTAGACTCCAAACCTGTATTTTAAAATTTGAACACCACAGTGTTAAAAATTTATCCTGAATCATAGAATGGTAGAATATCCTGAGTTGGAAAGGACCCACGAGGTTCATCAAAGTCCAGCTCCTGGTCTTGTAAGCACAACTTAAATGGCTCTTTTTGCTTTTCATCCACTTGGCTGGAGTGTGTAGAGCAGCAGAAATCAGGCTAAGCCATTGGGTTCTTTACAAGCCAAGGGATCTTACATCTGTTGGGCAAAATTACTGCAAGGAAAAAGCTGAATGTAAAAAGTATTGCATTTATTGTAAAAAATTAAAATAATGGGTGTGTTATTGAAGATGAGTGTATATTGAATATGAGTGTATATTGAATAAAAGTACAGGGTGTGATACAGACACAACCAAGCTGCCTCCTGTCCAGTTCCTACCTTTCATTTCAATTTTTATATTTAAATATTATGTGCTAAACTACACTCAAACAGCACTGTTGTGGTGTGTTTTTGGATTCATATTCCAATACAGCACTTATCTTAAGTTTCATTATATGAGTGGGCTCAGGACTTGATTTTTACAGTACCGATATTGATTGTAAATATCAAGCAGGCCTATTTGCATCCATTGTGTTTAAAGTAAAGATTAATAGAGCAGAGACTTTTTTATGATTGAGGCAAAGAAATAAATTTGATACATTTGCTCAAGTTCTAAATAAATCATTTATATATTTATTCAAGTTCTAAATAAAATTATTTATATATTTATTTAGATGTTTACCTGTACTACAAGGTGCTAATGCTGGCTCTTATTGTGATGTTGCTCTTGGTGGCAAAACATGTTCCTGTTGTAATTTGAAAGCAAAATAATTTTGTCCATTTAGAAAAAAAGTGCTTTATCCACTCGATGATGTCAGAGAGATCAAAGACTGCAAATCCCACTACTGTTGTTCACAGACAAATTGAAATGCAATTTCTTTTTCCCATGCAGATGTTGAGCCAGTAAATCTATTATTTTTTTCAAGTCAGGAGAACTTGTGTGTATGTAACACATGAAAGCCCTTTAACTGCATACCATTACTGAGCATTGTTTAGTCTTTAATCGCTGAATTGGTATGAATTAAATTGCTTTCTTAATTGCCTAAATACCTTATATTTTTAAAAGCCTGTTTTTCCACTGCACTCATTTATTCCTAACAGGGTAATCCTTAAAGCTGAAAGGCCTCTTTTAAATTGAACATCGATGGCAAGCCTGTCATGAGGATTATAGAATTAGAACTTCAAGTGATTTAGAGAATGAGAAAACAAATAGGAGATTTTACACAAGCATTTATGTATTCTTCTTAAATAAATCCTTTATTTCATTTGTTGTGCATGTTGTAGCTTACTTCTGTGTAAGAACTGTACTAGATGAGCAAAATGCTGTTAAAACAATTCTTTCCAGATGTATTACAAATTCTCTGTCACGTGAAGTGTGCTCCTCTCAGACTCTTCCTTGCACCTACTCTGTCTTGCCTTTGTGGATAAATCTCTGCTCCTGCTGGATCTTCCATCAACTCACACATTCCTCCTCCACATCTGTACTAAAATGGGCAAACTCAGGAATTTGGTCTTAAATTTGTTGTCTCATTCTCTAGCGTTCATGATGTTCCTTTGTCACGTGTGCACTGTGCCATGGGATTGAGCCATAAGGGTATTGGAAAGTGCCACTGCTCCTGTATTCTAACAATTAGTTCAGATTTTTACTTTTTTAACTGAAAACCTCATTTCAGCCCTCAGGCTAATGGAGAACAGAGTTTTATAACTTCCAAGAATACTGATTTGTTTCAGGCCACTAAAAATGCTTCTACAGTCAAAAGAACAGCAAAAATATTCATTTACCTGTTAATTCCCTTTGTGCAGAGTTTTCCTGCAGCTTTTCATAATTGCAGCTGGATGCATTACATTTCCTTCAGCTGCAGTCAGGATTGCCTCACTGTTTTGTTATTCTGTGTTCTGCCAAGGCAGGGAGCATTTATTTTGTGTTTCTCTATAGAATTGGTCTCCAAGTTTTTAGCCTAACACAGCATGGTTTAGCTCCAAGAAAGAATTGTGGATTTACAACAAGGAGTTACTTCAGTTTGACTGGTCAGAATGCAAATTCTGATTTAGCATGGTGTCCAGCTATGCAGAATTTCAGGGATTCCTGCAGAGATTTGGCCTTTATGGCATTGAAGGAATGCTCTAATTTCAGTTCTGTTTAATCTCTGTACACAGCAATTTTGTATCTGGGGGATTCTGAACTGGCAATGCTGAAATCGCAGAACTTTATCTCAGATCTTGTTCTCATCAAAATTAATCATTATTTCTTAAAATACATCATAGGGTAGATTCCTTCTAGTCCTAAATTATGGAAAATTCAAGAAAATTCATTTTTAAAATAATCTATTTATTTTCAGGCAATTGCATAGGCAACTTTTTGCTAATGAGTTGACGTCTGCAATATTCACTTTATTGAAACATTTAAGAATTTTTTTTTTTTGCTTTCTCTTGTGTCTACATTTTAGATTCGAGATACAAAATCATCAGACCAGAAAACCACCCTGTTGCACTTCCTGGCAGAAATCTGTGAGGAGAATTACAGGGACATCCTGAAATTCCCAGATGAGCTGCAGCACGTGGAGAGTGCGAGCAAAGGTGAGCAGCAGGCACAGCACCTGAAGGGAGCAGGTGTTGGCTTTGACAGGAAACACTGCCAGCATTTCATTTGGGATCGGGGGATTATGTAACCTGTAAGCATTGAGAATCCACGTGGATTCTGCTTGTCTGGTATTTATTGAGCTGAGGACAAAAAGGGAAAAACAGTAATGGAGCAACTCCTCTTCTTCTGTAGTGGGCTGTGAAAATAATACAATTTATGATACAATTAAAAATTTTAAAAAATTAAATTGTATTAAAAATTGTATCAAAATTTTAAATTGTATTAAAATAATGCAATTAATAAATTGTATTATAGATTGTATTATAAATTATTATAAATGGTATTATAAATTGTATTATAAATTGTATTATAAAATTTATTAAATGTATTATTAATTGTATTATAAAATCTATTAATAAATTGTAGTGAGATGCTTGAAAAGCCACAGCTCAGGAGTTGCCAGCAGTGCAGGGCTGGTGTTGGGTGTCCCCTCTGAGGAGTGAGCTCTGAGTGTGCAAGGAGCCTTCACACACAGAGTTCCTCATTTCCTCACCTGAGAGAGAATAGCAAATAAACAGCTATGCTATTTATGCAAATAAATATATATATTTATACATGAAATACATGAAATATATATATATACACTATAAAAATATATATAATAAATATGCATATTTATTATTTATACAAGTAAATAGCATATTCTGGAAAAATCCCAGGCCACCTATGAATAGATCCAGTTCAGTTGTGCTGCACAGGCCACAGTTAATGGTTATTTTTGGTCAGTCAGCAGTGCAGGCTGTGGTGGCTGAGTTCACCTGTTGGCCACGTTCTCATGTGGCACAGGCTGTGTCATTGGCACCCTCATTGCTGGGTTTTCTGCTCAGGCAGAAGTACATGAAGATAACACAAACTTTTAATTGGTCAATTTAATCAGAAAATATAAAAACAAACATAAGTATAAATATAAATTTAAACATAACTATAAATAGAAGCATAAATATATATTATATATAATAAATATAAATATATATTTATAATATATATTCAAATATATTATAAATATATTTAATTATATATTATAAATATATATTTAGATATCTTTATAATATATTTATTTTATATTATAAATATATTAAATATATAATTATATATTTATATTATATATAATATTTATATATTATATTATAAATATAATATATAAATATTGAATTTATATATTTATTTATATTTAAAAAGTATAAATATATATTATAAATATAAATACCTGGGTGAGCACAAGAAAATGAAGGGAAGCAGAGGTGAGAAGGGGTTGGATGCCCATTTCCAGCAGCCCTGTCCAGGTTTTCTCCTGGCAGTTTTTGTCTCCCTTCCTGCAGTGCTATCAGTCAATGCTCTCCCCATGCAGTGATTAGCTGTTGGATGTTCGTTAATTAGGCCATCAGCACTCTCACTCTGTGCCTGCTGAGAGCTCCTGTGTCCCCCAGGACCTGGGACAGTTCATCCATCAGCTCTGCCATGGTTTCACCTCACACTTCCACTCCTTCATGTTTTTTTGTGTCTGTCTTCATCCTGCCTTTTTTTTTTTTTTTTTTTTTGTTATTTCTCAAACTTTGCATGCCCTTTTCCATGTTTTTTTCCTGCATATAACCTGGGTTTTATTTGTGTTGGTTGAATGTGTCCCTGCCTCACTTTGCTGCAGGATTGGCCTGAGTCCTGCTCTGGGATTTCTGGGGAGTCTGTGCAGGGCTCAGAGATCCTTGTGAGTCCTTCCCATCAATTCTGTGGACTAACATATTAATTCAGTTATTTATGCAAGTAGCAGTTTGGCATCTTATCTAAATTCCAAAAATGTTTTCTCCCACTTGATAATTCTTTTCTCGAGGTGACTTTTCATCTTTTTCTTCTTTTCTTTGTAAAGTCTTCTGGTTTACCAGGCACTTTTGATGATCTTTTATAAATTTTCTTCTGTGGGTGACACTTGACCTTGCAGCTTTGAGATTTTTACAGTTTGATTCAAAGCCTCTGATGTTCTGTAAGTTGACTTGAGGAATTAAACTGGAAGAGTCAGGAAAGTTTAGTTAAGCTGTAGCATCCTAAACACAGAAAGCGTATAAATGGGAGCAAAGCCTCTCATAATTCTGATGCTCAGAACACATATGAAAAAGATTTTATTGCAGTTAAATTTGTTTCATTCTGTGAGATAAAAGCTGCGTTTCCTATAAACAGCGCTGACTCCTAGCAGAGCATAAATTGCTGTTCGTTTTTAATGACCAAAACTTCTCTTTCAGCCCTCCTTTGCTTTCTGGAGCAAGGCAGATTTTTGGCAGAATAAATGGGATTTGTGCAAGTTGCTTCAACTGCTCCCCGTGGTGCTGCTGGGGTTGGGTAATTGCAGTGTTCATCTGCTCTGCCACTCTGGAGCTTTTCCTGTGCAGGAGTCTGAGGTGCTTTGCATGGAGGAGATTTGCACTTCCAAATATTTATTGTTTGGAGTTTATAAACCAGCGGTTTTGGGGACGGACAGTTGGGTTTGTTTTTCCTGTGGGAAGCCTCTTTTGGAATAAATTGGCTGGATGTGAGGATGGTGCTGGCATCAGTTATTCATAAAACAGGAAGGAATCTACCAGCAAACATTATCTCTGCAGGAATTTTAAATGAGATGTGAGCTGGGCAGGTGAGTGTCATTGCTGGAGATGGAAGTGGCAGCTTTTAGTCAGGACTCGTGGTCTGGGTGTGCAGAACCTTCCCAATGCTGCCCTTGGATCTGCATCTTTTCAGTCTTGGCTTATTCTCACTTCCATGTCAAGGAAAAAAATCCCGTTCAGCTTAATTTTAATATAAGAATAAAGAACCAGCATCTGAACAACAGCTGATTTTGGTTTTTTACTTTTTAACAAAGAGCAGATAGAGCATAAAACTGGATTTTAATATGAAAAGGTCAATGAGATTAGATGAACTCCCCATGCATGTACTAAAATCTTCAATAATCTGATATTAGGTACAATAAAATAGTTGATCTTTTTAAAGATGGAAGATCAACCTGCAGCTTTATGAAAAGTAAAAATAAATTAGGAAACAGTTTTATTCAGGAAAATACAAGCAAAGGTCAAAGTGATTAACTATCAAGAGATCATTGGAAAACCATTTCTTATCCTGGAAGCAGATTGTGAAAGGAAAACCAATCAAAACTCACAAGGCTGTGATGCAGTGCATTGTTTGATGGCAGTGATTTCCTTTTCCCCTTTCATTTTCCCCCCTTTCATTTTTCCCCCTTTCTTTTTTTTTCCCCTTTCTTTTTTTTTCCCCTTTCATTTTCCCCCTTTCTTTTTTCCCCCTTTCTTTTTTCCCCCTTTCTTTTTTCCCCCCTTTCTTTTTTCCCCCCCTTTCTTTTTTCCCCCTTTCTTTTCTTTCTTTTCCCCCCTTTCTTTCTTTTCCCCTTTTATTTTTTCCCTTATTTTCTTTCTTCCTTTCTTTTCTTTTTTCCCCTTTTCTCCTGTCCTTTGGAGCCAGGCCCATTCCTGTTGGCACATTCCTGCCTTCTTCACTTCACTTGTTATCCCTCTTGCTGCTTTTCATGGGATTTGCTCTTAGCACTTTATAACCTCAGCTTTTTATTAAAGACCTGAAAAATTCCCATCCCCTTTTGGGCTTCAGCCAAATTTCCAAACAAAACCAAGAGGTACCTTGGTTTATCTTACAAGTCAGATATTTCTAGACAGCTGTGTGGTTAAAAGTATACTTTTAATCACTCAGAAAATAAATATATTTTTAAAGTTAAGGCTCACTTGAGTGTCAAGCCTCTCAGAAATCATAAAAATGAAATAGGTGACACACAAAGTGAAGATGATTACAATAAGTTAGCCATGTGTTTTATAACAGAAACTTCAGTTTAGATACTAAGAGGAGCAGTTTTACATCCCAGTTTGTGATTTAACCATTTTGCCTGTAAATAATATCAAAATGAGATGTAGCTGTTCCTGCTTGGTCTGCCAGCAGTGGCATCCCCTGGGCCGTGCAGAGCCACAGCAAATTGAGATTAACTGGGAAAGGGGGATACACATTATATGAATATCTGTATTTTTTAGTCTCTTTCAGCAATAATGAGGGTTTTTTGAGCACTTAACACACTGACTTCTCTGCCTGACATCAAGGTGTGCCACCTGATAGTTCTTTGAAAGTGAAGTTGAAAGTAAAATGAAGTGAAAGGTGCCTTGTGGGGGTGAATTAGGTCTGTGCAGTGAACTGAAAAATACCAATATCACAGCACTGATTTGTCACTCACTTGGACATTGGAATTTATTTCATTAATTTGCAAGCATATGGTTCTGATGGTGCAGGCATCTCTCTGGAAAGGCCATTAGCAATTGAAACACTGGGGAATGCAAATGCGTGTGTACTTTTTATTACAAATACTGTAATAAAGTATTAATTTTGAGATTTTATACAGGTACTTCACTGTGATTTAATGGCATCATTTTAGGATGGGGGAAATATTTTAAAACATCCTGTGCCACTGTCACTTTGAAGTACAGCAATTTAAAACATGCTCATAAGCAGCAGCCGTTTTTCTGTCAGACCAAAGTTTTATAGTTTGGTGCAGCAGGAAAAAACCTGAGTTTCTGCAGCATTTCCACCTTTAGAGCACATTTTAAATTGCAGCATTTCCACCTTTAAAGCACATTTTAAATTGCTGGAGCAGATTTTGCCCAATCTGGCCCAGGAGTGGTGGAAAGCAGAAACCTCACAGGTGCTCCCTGTGCTGTAGCTCTGAGCAGGAATTTCTCCAAGGGATTCTTTTGGAGCCTGGCTGAGATCCTGCATTGCCTCCCACTCTGCACAATGGCTCAGTGAGCTCTCCCAGCCTGGGAAGGCTTTGAGGAGTTTTTAGTTGCAGTCTGTGTGTAATAAATGCTGCAGAGAACTGTGGTTGTTCTGGAGCTGCAGTTTGGAGCTGTGATTTGGAATCTCCATTAAGCAGCTTTCTGTATGGCTT